CTTAATTATAAGTCCCTTCTTCTTAATTACAACAATAACTTTGACAGTAAAATGGTCTTGACCCGAGTCCATTTTTGTTTGCTTGACAAATCTCAAAATAACTGAGAAGGAATCTCTATTTCTATTTTACTAAATGTCTATCTTAGACCCACATTGAGACATTCATTATTGGGAAATCAGGTCCAGTTGACAGCACATCTGCAATTAACTTTTTAGTTGCCAGTAATTCAAACTGGATAACACTGGCAATTGCTCAACGCTTGCCAAAATAAATATTACAATTCAAAAATATAGAAATCACCCACATTCTATTGTACAGGATACGAATGACAAAAAATACGGTTTTATTTCAATGTCGTTTTTAGTTTGTAACTTAAAACATTTCCTATGACTGATAAAAGGGTTATTTCCTAAAGGTTTCTTCTAAATCTGAACTTAGAACTTTTTAATATACTTTTTTTTTATCATCGCTTTTTTCCCGTCCATTGGTGATATGTTAAGTATAATAGTATTTTTTGTAGCATGTAGTATGCTGATAGTGAACACTGTTAAGATATTAGGTTTGACCAAATTAAGAAATTAAAAGCTTGCAAAATGGCTTTAACGTGGTGTTTAACCGAGGCCCTGTTCAAACGTCGAAATTTCTACCTTAGTGTACGGAACTTAACCTGCTTGGTCTACCCAAATGAAATAAGTTCGACGGCTGATTCAGACGTCAAACTTTATTAGTCGGACTCAATTCATTTTCAGAACTACAATGATTCACAGTGCTTATCAGTCAAAATGAATTATAGTAATTTATGCAGTAGATTCAACACATGGAAAGCTCGACGTTTGAGACGGAGTTGCTCCATAGTCGAAATTCCCATGTGGGTCACTCGAAAATAATTCATGGCTCGACCCAAATGACATATGATTTGTCCACCCCGTTCCATTTGGGAAGTTTTGATTTTAATTTGGGATCTTCAAACGTCTCTGACAATGAGCGAGAGACTTGCGTAAAGAAAGCAAGTTCTACATTGTTTAACCTTGTTCGTGGGTGGATGAGTTCATGTGCTCGCGTTTGTAGTGGGCGTTTTCTGCTTTGGTTGTGCCACATAAAGATTTCACTTAATATCCTCGCACTGCCCAGGATGCTTTCAAAGAAGTTGAGATGATTTTTAACGGAACTATTCGGAACGAATAAGTTAGAAACCTGACCAATGCATAAGAATGCTGGCCATGGTTTCAACATCGTTTACCATCGCCGAAGTCTCGACTCAGAAAATATACACCAAGAGAATGCATGTAGCCACGGTTATTAAATTGAACCATTAAACCTTTATTCTTCCAAAAATAGAGTTCAATTTCGAATTTACACCTTTACCGTTTTTGATAATGAGAAAGAAAAAGAAAGAGAGTAGCAAAGAAACGAAGAAGAAAAAGTAGCATAGTAAAGAAGAAACACGTCAAAGGATCGTTATGTCAGCTTGTGAATTCCTCTTCGAAAATTTCTTTATTTCTGTATATAATTGGGATAATAATAATAACTAATCGTAGTCAAAATAAAGTTTATTTGTATAAAAAATTTTAATTTAATTTCGGGCTGTTGTGTGTTGACTTCTTGTCATGTAAACCGTCAAGGAGTGAATAGAAGCACCGTGCTTTCTGAAGCGGTTTTGCTTGTTTGGAAATATATATTCACGTTGAGGCAAGCTCGACTTTTTCTTTAAATTGAAGATAGCAGCAAACTATATACATTTGTCAGTTTGTAACGAGTCATAAACAGAGAGGGTTTAGCTTTTCGGCCTCATGCCTAGGAAACGATCGTACATTAAGGCCCAAATTATAGCACACCTCCAATCCATAGATCGTCTTCACATGACGCCATGGCGGCCATATTGGTGTCCCAAAACAATGGAACGGCGGCCATGTTGGTGACGTTGGTTTTCCAAAAAAATCTTGTGGGAATTGAGCTCTTTTGTTATGGAAACGCCTTCTTTGGTTTCAATAAATTCGCATAGATGCTGGCCACGTGAGTAAAACACTGTATAGGTGAAAGCTAACATGTTTCACACAAAGCCACTTGTTCTACGCGGTACGAACGACAGGGACAGACTCGGATCACACCAGGCCTTGCTGCTCGGCAACTGAAGAGTAGTGGCTGGCTCTGTAGTAGACAGATGTTGTTTGTTGTGTTCAATGATGGCGCCACTAGGCTTTCGAGGGATTCGATAGATCCACACTCAAAACCAGCCCTAAAATGAAAAAGAAAAGGAATTTTCACCAAGTTCATTATAGACTGAGATAGAGTCAAGTTTGATGTCTGTACGTACTTTAATTTATTAGTTCTAGGAGCGTTAGGGGGAAAAAACAAACGGATAATCTCTAATCACGGCAATGTTGTTTTGTACAGCGGTTTTCATGGCTATACATGGCAATACATGGCTATTTTTATACATTTCTTGATACACTTTAATAACCCTACTTAAAGTACCTACCCTTGCATCCAGGACGTTTAAAAATGAGAGAGCGCGCGAAATGTGTTGTTACTGAGTGTAAGGGCGGCCATGATTAAAGTGTGGTAATAGCCCACGTTCGATATATTAAAATTCTAACATGACTCCGAGGCCAGGCTTTCTGGTCATTTTTCTATATTTGGTTTCGCTTTCTTTGTGCTCGTCTCTTTTGGGAATTGTGAGACAACGGAATCTTAAAAAATTTACAATTTTGACCCTAAAGCCTCGGAGTCAAACTAGAATTGTAGTATTCCGAACACGGGCTATTCATGACAGTGGCGGTTTTCTATACTACAAATAAATGGTCTGGAATTTTATCTATATAATAAACCCCTTAAAGTCAAAGATGCCTAGCAGCGCTACAGTTACCTTAGAAGAAGTGTTGCTTTTGTATTTAAGGACACAAAGAACTGTGGTTCGCATATCAGCTTTTTCTTGTGGCAGGTCTCAAGACACGATTCACCCACCCCTCCCAGCGTCATCTTCAATTCACTCAACGGCGGCCATCTCGATGGCTTGCAGAAGTCCTGTTGAAAATAAGATTATTTTCTTGATATCTTATCTCTTTTCCTTCTGTAAAGGTAAAAAAATCCGGTATTCAGTTCTTCATTTATTACGCTTTCTCGTCTTTCAACTCGCAGTCTCGTTCCCCTTTTCTTTGCTGTAACGTAAAAGCTTAAAGCTCGGTTAACTCGTTTCCAAGTTCTGACAGGAATTTTGCGCTGCACTTAGATAAGAAACTGAAACATTTGGATTTGGATTAGAAGTATCCAACATGCCTGAAGAATGAAGGACACAATGTAATTTATCACTTTTGAGAACGTTATGTATACCTGATTTTCAACGTAAGCATTAATTCTTTCCAGCATTCCAACATGAGTAAACTCATATGGTAGATGAGGCTCTTTCTGAAATGAAAATCAGGTGTAGTTTTAAGTGTACACAGAGAAGAGCAGAGCAGAGCAGAGCAGTTTTGAGCAAGCGAGGACTAAACTCTTTATCTCCCCTCTATGGGACAGCCTCAAATGATGTAAAGAAGAGAGGAGAAGTGTGACGCCATGTTACCATGGTAACAAAATGTCTGTAGCCTCAACAATCTTTTTTGAAAGAGACAGCGATTTGTATTGTCGAACGATGGATAAAAAGTACGGGCTACCATTTCTTTCCTGAGTGTAATCATGAACAGGGAAGTCATACATGTCATTTTTTTCGTTTTTTCCTTCCACATTTGCAGGAACACAGTTTTTTGAGATCCAGACATTTTGCTACGTGACGTACAAACTTCTCCTCTCTATGCCGACCTCCATGCTGCGACCCCGCTGTGCCTCCTCAACCAAACAGAAGAATTGCACTAAGAGGCATGTGACATCGTTTTCATGAAAATGAAAGTTGTATGATTTTGCTTTCGAAAAACGATTAGTGGGTCATATCTTAAACAAAATAATAGTGATTTGGTTTTTCAAACCGGCACCATTTTCTTAAAATGAATAAGTTCGTAAATGGTCACGTGACCAAAATGAGATTTTTAAAATTATGAATTTCCTCTCTCTGAACACAAATTTTGCACTTAAACTTCAAGGAAAATGTTGAAAAGATGATGTGATAATGTTTACAGCACATCTGAGCGTAACTATAAAACGTTTAACAAGATATAAGCAAGAAGTAGTTTTGGCCGCCATGTTGGAGGGCAAGAGCATGCCCTCCAACATGGCGGCCAATACAAATCATACTACTTTGCTGAAAAATCAAAGTGCCGTAAAATATCTCCCTTAAATGCGTTTTCCCTCAAATTTCGAGTGTAAGATAATTTTTGTGTGCTCTAACAATTTTTGGCATCAGCAAGATTCCAACTCATTGTTTAAAGGAAGCATTGGTCACGTGACCTCTTAGTGCAAGTGGCCTATAATGGCTTGACAATTTTAATGAAAGCCTTTTGGCAAAAATTTACCATGGTCCTACAACTCAGTTCTTTTCCATCACAGCATTTCATTTCCCACAAGAATAGTTTGGTAGACCAACTGGTTTGCCTTCATTACTTACAGTCTATTATGGGAGGCATGACAAAATATGAAAACTATCTTGCTACATTTAAAAAATTAAAAAAGTTGATCCAACATAGAAAAAAAGATTAATAGCAACTGTTTCCTTACTTCTGTACTAATGATTTCCTTCAAAGCTTCTTCCACCTCTGTTAAATTATGGATATCCACTGTCTGAACGAAAGGTTTACCAACAAACACCTCCGCGTACGGATTTTGAGATGTAATCTGAGTGATTGAAAATGATCGATGTTAAAAGTTAGATAAGATATATTGTAATTGTAGTTCTGGTTTTATGAACTCATTCAAATTTAATACCACAACGTGACCATTATATTATGCCATGCACTCACTTCCCTTCCCTAATGGGGATGAAATGTGTCTAAATGAAACAATTATTTGAAGTACAACTTTAACACGTCTCCAAAGTAGTACGTATTTCACGGGTGAAACAATAACTAGTTACCTTTCTGCTAAAGGGTTTTCCAGCGAAAAAGTTTGAGTTTGTGCGATCGAGAGGTGGCACGTACTGAAAAGTAAAAATCGAGCATCGATTCAGAAAAGAAATAAAACATTTTGTCTGCCCTTTTTCTGAGGAGACCTGCATTACTTATTTGGTCTGTTACCATTTTAAACTGGAAAGAAAACATTTTCTGCTCATCCAGAGCCTATCATTTATGAGGTTGGCACTTGCTTCTACAGCAACCCGCCTTTGAAATGTCTTGGCTTAGTCTGGTGATTGTTGCTCGTTAATCACCAATCATCATCATCATCATCATCATCATCATCATCATTATCATTAACATCATCATCGTAAACGTTACGTCATCATTTTCATCATCATCATCATCAACGCCAACGTCACAATCATCGTAATCCTAATTGACCTTAACTGGCTTAAGCAAAAACACAGGTAAGGATGCCATTATATCTTTACTATACCTTAGGATTAATGAAGAAACATCCATTAGCCAAGGCCTCAAGGGCTGCTGGCCCTTCATAGGGTTGACCCAGACCCACAAACACCTGAAAAAGAAGCCAGGCAAACCAGTTTCAAGTTTTTCACTTTCAGTTTAGAGAAAACCGAGTTCTGAAGCTGCTCAGAGTTCCGAATGAAATTAACGACAGATGAATTACCTTACTGGAGTCTAATAAATCTATCAATGTTGTTATATTTACAATCCCATGATTGATGACATACTCGGGCACACGGAATTTCTTTCGACTTTCCTATGGAAAATAAAAGCGCGAAGAGAAAATTGTTGAATCTTTTTGAAGGTGCAGGTATGTCTCATCATAGCTTTTAGTTATCTAAAAACATGGGTGATATTTTACCTATTGGTGTCTGGACATCGGATAAAACACTCCGTCACGCGTTTGGCATATTAATACTCGGTGTTTCTATATCAGAGAAAACATCCCTTCTCATTAATGTGATATCTATTCTCGGAGTCTGGAGATCAGATAAAATGCTTCCACTCTTGTTGGACATATTACTTCCCGGCGTTTGGATACGAGATGAAACACTTCTTCTTGTGTTTGATGTATTACTTCTCAGTGTTTGGATATCAGATGAAACACTCCTTCTCGTGTTTCGTATATTTCTTCTCGGTGTTTGGATATCAGATGAAACAGTTCACGTCATGTTTGGTATAGTAAATTGTGAAATTAGACGGTGGTTATAACTCATTAGCAACAAAATACTGACTTAAAACGAAAAAGTTAGTGTAACCTCAGACGATTTCGAAGATGTATAATATATTGTGAACGGGGCCCTGCCTACGTACCTCAGTACCTCCCAACGTTGCGTGAACTTCGTTAAAATAAGTCTTCACTGCATTAATGTAGTCTCCATGCCCCTAAAAATGTTGACAAAAATGGAAAAATAATTTCATGAGATACGTTTATTCGCCACAACGTCTCAAGCAATTTAGGTAACGAAAAGGATAAAATAGTCATAGTGATTCAACAAGTCATACTTACCTCCCAGAACTGGGGATCTTTGCCATAAACTAAAGCTGCTTTTCTCGTTTTTGTCTTCTGCAAGGGTTCTTTGTCTTTTTTAGCTCTTTGTGGGACGGCAAATCCAAGAAAGGAGTTATCTGGACTATGGGCTACAGGAAAGAAGTGCCAATTAATTCTAACTCTAATTCTTCAATAACAACCATGCAACATTATTAAGGGTGGGGGCAGAGGTTACCAATGCAGGAAACCTCAGCTAGACCCTTCCAATACAGCGTAGTAGTGAGAACCTTTTGTAGTTTCAAAACTTTTAGATTCTCTTTTAAGGTACTTACGATACATGGTCAAAAACTGAGGTAGTTGAAGGTCAATATCTCCCCAGGGTGACCTACCACCAGGAATCTTCCCCTTGTAATGTTTGTAGTTAAACGCTGCATCTGTTCCAAAAGAGTCTAACACACGCATCTTACACCTGTTATCAATAAAAAAAAAACTTCATTTATGAAGAAGGTGGAATTGGAGAAGGTGTCTTGCCTTAAACTGGCAAGTAGTTTACTGGGATAACCACAAGATCGATACTTTTTGTCAACCTTCAAATCAAGATGCTAGCGAGATAGCTTAGTTAATTTTCGCTAAATGATAAAATTTCTACCATTGGATAACTTGTTTTCGCCACTACGACATTCTCGCTAAACTGTCGTAGAATAGAGTACTAAAGTGATGACGTCATAAAAATGAAATTTCTGAAATTATGGGATTTGTCAGGATATTCTGAAAGAACAATGTCCAAGAGGCCTACTTGCCAAAAATGAGCATTTGGGGGCAAATTGTCTCTGAGATAGTAGCCCAGTTATACTCAGAAAACTCCATACAAACCCTTCTAATTTTTTTTGGGTCGATCCAAAAAAAATTTAGAAGGGTTTGTATGGAGTTTTGTAAGCATAACTGGGCTACGATCTCAGAGACAATTTGCCCCCAAATGCTCATTTTTGGCAAGAAGGCCTCTTGGACATTGTTCTTTCAAAATATCCTGATAAATCCCATAATTTCAGANTACTAAAGTGATGACGTCATAAAAATGAAATTTCTGAAATTATGGGATTTGTCAGGATATTCTGAAAGAACAATGTCCAAGAGGCCTACTTGCCAAAAATGAGCATTTGGGGGCAAATTGTCTCTGAGATAGTAGCCCAGTTATACTCAGAAAACTCCATACAAACCCTTCTAATTTTTTTTGGGTCGATCCAAAAAAAATTTAGAAGGGTTTGTATGGAGTTTTGTAAGCATAACTGGGCTACGATCTCAGAGACAATTTGCCCCCAAATGCTCATTTTTGGCAAGAAGGCCTCTTGGACATTGTTCTTTCAAAATATCCTGATAAATCCCATAATTTCAGAAAATTCATTTTTATGACGTCACACTTTAGTACTCTATGAAGATGGCTAGCGCATTTTCCCGCCAAAATGGCGTTGGTTCGCACACGAGGTTCGACCTCGTCTTAGAATCTAAAGCTCAGTCTTATGTTGCCTAGTCCTTATTCTGTGTGGCCTATGTGTTTCGGGCCTCGTCAGTTGTCCAGCGAATTTTTTTTGCCCTTCGTCTTGGAAAACGTCACCAAAGTGAATCCATCGAGGTCTGTCAAGACCCCATGCAGGGACTAGACAAGATAATACCTATAGCAAATAACTCTAAGAAATACAAACTTGTGCAGCGAATAATCCGGTCCACTTCGTTCTGCTATTATAAACACTCCCATGATATCAGTAAAAATAAGATCCAATCCATCGGTTAACGTTTCACGAACGCAGCCATCAGAAGCCGGATTAACTAGGGAACTGGGAACAAAACCAGAAAACATTAAAAAGCGGTTACCTTAATGATCACTAATTTTTTCATTTGTTTTTTTAATTAGGAAGATTAGTTTTAAGTAAGGTTTGATAGTTACGCTCGAAACTGTTTTGCTACCACCTTATCTAGTCGCTCTCAGTGACTCTGACAAGAAAGCATTGCATCGATGGATTCTTTTGAATCGTTTCATTAATAAATGACTTGAGTGGTTTTAGGAAGTAGATCGAACCACAGGCGAGAACTTGTGGCACTTCTTTATTGTTCTCACAGCAAGGAGCACAAAAGCGCGACCGCTTTTGATTTATTCACATTCTTTTGTACAGATTTAATCCAATCAGAAGCCAGCTGGAAATTAAACTGTCCTCCGATTGGTTAATGTCTGCATGAAAGAATGTGAGATATTTCAAGGAGGTCACCCTTTGGGCTCCTTGCTGTAACAAATAGGAAATGATTGTATATCCCTGAAATGCAGGATAATTTTTTGAAATTTCTTTTTGAGTTAATCAATAAATCATATTTCAGCGTACGTGCATTATTATAAGGCTCGAGGAATTTCATGGAATATCGTTCTGACTAATCATACCGCGCGTTTCGTCGGATATTTTATAATGTATTTCTTTGGTTTTCTTTTCTACTGGTCTTTTACCTTGGAATATCCCCCACTTGAAAACCGATAGTGAGGTCATGGCCTAAAATGTACAGGGCACTTATCAGGTCGCACCATTGGACCAGTTCACCTAACGGCCCTCCCAAAAACGCGCCGTCTAAGAAGAACTTGTGCTCTCCCATAGCAGCCAGGTACAAAAGGATCTGAAAGAAGAACAATAGCCAACAAATTTGGCAAAAAGATATTTTTAACATAGGTATAACGGCTTAGTAATCATTAGCAAACTATGATCTATGACGTTATCGATGCTAATTAAGTTTCACTTTGCAATGAGTTTCCATGGCAATTTCAAAAAGGAAGCCTAAGACACTACTGACACGGAGATGGTATCACAAAAAGTATGCGTCTCGCTGCCGGTTGTTTTTACTTCCGCTTTGCTCACACGTTATAGGCTTTATGCGCGTTTCTAAGGGCCAGAAGAATAGCGTTCGTTATATACCTTTTTTTGTTTCCTTTCACAAAAGTTAGGCTTTAGTTGTAGCTCTCCAACAGCTCGCATCCAATGCTGCCATGTTCCAAGAATTCTGTTCCGTATCCAGGTAAATCGTTCTCCTTTAAACTTATCAAGAAGTCCAGAGAGATCGGTTTGAATTGTAGCCTTTGAAACAAAAATCAGAAATGTCATAAAAATATGTTTTGCAAGTACGTAAAGTTTTCAGGAAACGTTTGCATGAGTTAAGTCCAAGAAAGAGCTACAGAGGACGCGAAAACACTTGGACATTTATTAAGCAAACTATGATATCTCTTGATCACCCACCCCATTTATTTTGTGCCAAAAAATACTTTATCTTTTACATTGTTTGGGAGAGCGAGAAGCCAAGGGAGGGGGAAAAATCCAATTTTTACTAACAGCACGTTAAGCAGTCCCTATACGTCACTCCTCTACTGTACATTAGTACGAATTGTGAAACTTTAGAAATAATGGTGTAAACTTAGTTAATTCACTGCCCTTAAATTATGTTGCTTCACCTTTTTCGGTGGTCCATTTGAACCATCCAAGGAGTGGTGACTACTTCTCCATGGCAACACTGGGCACCAGGCCTCTCTCTGAAAATTAACAATAACAATCGATGTGACTCACTTGGTGAGTTTCGTACATTCTCCAAATTCACCCACTAAAATCATAGGAAATCCTTTGAACGAAAAGGTGCAGCGTAGATGCCTTACCTCGCTCAAATACTGAATAACAGAACAAATGTTTTTTGGATCAACTTTGTATTTCTCCCCATGACAGTTTTGGTCCCACTTCGTGTGAAATTCCTGAAAGAACAGGTATTTTGCCTTAATTCAAAGCATATACATTAATTTAATACCATACGAGGGTGTAACACCAGCATTTTTTGAAGGAAAGTGGGTTGTCTAAAATTAGCCTCTTAAAAAAGTTTAGATATACAGCAAATCATAGGTCATAAGCATGTCACGTGCATAGGAACAATTTTTCCCAGAATTATTAGCCTGTGCCAGGGGCTAAGATAGTAGGAACGTCGTGAAAACAAGCCAAGCAAAAAATAAGAACCGCGTGCTCTGGAGAAGGGACTCAGGGAGTGGCGCATAAACCCCCGCCCCCAACCCACCCCACCCCACCCCATCCCACACCTTTGGCATCTTTCACAGCAGTTTTCACGATCTTTGCATACTACTCCCTATAATGGCGGGGGGGCTCCGCCCGAAAGAGGTACCTTTTTCAGGCTTCAGGTATATAAAAGGGTATGGATTTCACTAGTTGAGTTATATAAAAGGGTAGGGATATTTGTTCCTTCAGTCTTAAAAAGCCCATAAGGGCTAACAAATTCATTTTATGGCTGTGGAAAAGTCGAAAACGTTCTAGTTTCATCTTTTAAAAAAGTGCATTTATAGTAGTTTAAAGGATCACTAAGTTCTAAACTAGGTATGTGAAGGGGGTGCCCAGTTGTCAATAGAAGGTATACGAAATGGGTACCTTTCCTGCTAAAAATGGTATATAGAAGAGTACGAGGTTGGACCTCGAGGCGGAGCGTTACCGTATAAAACTTGGTTGAGTACCCCTCCCCCCCACCCCTCCCCACCAGGATGATAGGACCAGACTTAACTCAAGCTAAAAGGTTACTATTATACATACTTTTACCCAAGAATGCCTTCATACAAGAAGAAAAGATGAGGCGAGCAGGGTGTTTAGGATGTTCCTGAGCAAGTCAAGCCTTCCCTTCCCTTGCACCCCTTGCAGTATTGAAACTTTGATATAGAGCCTCCATACCTGTATTTTAAATTCGCATAAAGGGAATAAAGGGTCCTTTGGAATGGAACACGTGATTAAGTCTTCACTATGGTTGATTTTTGCATCTGCGTTTGGAGAAATGTAAAAGTTAGTAAGAAAAAAAAAGGGTAAATGGAGCAATAATAGGGTTTTTCAAGGAAACTAAATCTGAACTAAATAACTCGTCAATTTTTGCACGGTTTGCTGCCATACAGTTTAAGTTTTAATTGTATATCAATGCAATTATTTCATGGAAACTAATTCTACTAAGCTATGTTCACACAACACTGTATAGTTTTGCGCCGCAGCGAAAATCATACCCGATATAGCCTGCGTAGCAGCTGCCTGGAAGTAGTGGGCGCAAGAAAGAACGAGCGCGCGAGAGGGAGACACGCGTGTCCGCGTGTCTCCTTTTCGCGTGCCCATTCTTTCTTGGGCCTGCTACCCAGGCTATACCGGATTTACCGGATAGGGCTTCTGTTTTCACACAAAATAACAGTTGTGGAGGCGCGATTTCTGTGACGGAGCGAAGCTGCGCCGCGCTGATCTCGAGAGTGGAACGCCACATATCGGATAGGTTCTGTGCCATACTTTGGTGTAGTATGAAAACCTGTTCGGCCCATCGCGGAAGTAAATAAGTAGGAGCGAGGACTGGAACAATCTCCCAGCGTTTACTGATTTTTTACGACAAATGGCAGCAACTAGGAAACTGTACAGGAATACTTCAATTGGAAATAACGCTGGTGAATATCGTCTGACCAATTTCGAATCCACTGTGAATGGAACAGCGTAGGTCAAAAATCCGTTAATCTGGATTTGGATTCCTCGGATTTTAAACCAATGAATCCTTTTTCAGAAAGGATTCACCAGATCAAAATTCCTGATTTGGATTTGCCGAAAGGAACGCGAAATCCGTTTTAGGATCTAAAATCCGTTTTTGGATTCACCGAAAGGAATACACCCTTAATCATGTCGGTTGCTGATTTTACACAGGACGATAGACTTTCACCCGTGTTTCTCCCGAACAAATGTGCAAATACTGGGAAAAGCACGTTGCAACCGCTGGATTTTTCCTCACTAACTGAAAATTGTTAAACAACTGTTGCCGCAATTTTCGTCCGGCTGTGGTAAACTGAAAAGGTCACAAAAATCAGCGAAAAAAACAAATATATTTAAAAGTACTACTTTTGCCTCGTACAGAATATTCTTGGTTCAGATAAGTACCATTTGTTTTGGAAAAGTGCAGCACATTCCAACGTGAATTTCCCGTGAATACAAAAGCTGGTCACAGCAATATTGTGCGCCGCCGCGAATTCACTTTAATGATGGATATTAAAAAAAATAAAACTGTAAGAGGCTTAGTGTTCTTTTTTTAAACACAATGCGCCTAGTAAATTACATGTCGATCACACGACAGGATATGAACTGCAGCAACGAAGAACTCGTATGGATAAATGATGTATTTTACATCCAAAAAAATAGGAAAGACAAAAAGGGTAACTGATATTGACATACTACGTTTAAAATAAAAGATCCTCGCTTACCTTTGAAAAATATCTGTGCTTGTATCTTCGCCGCAATGCTTTTTTGAGCCTTAAAAGGTACCTTTTTTTCGTCTACACGGGACGTTATGTTGAAAATACTAATTTGAGTTGTGAAGAAGAACAGGGCAAGAATAGACCAAATGAAAATTACAGTTTTGCTCGAGAAGATCCTTCTGGCTTTCATTTCAGACGGTATCTATTAATGCCAAGTCATTTTGACAGTCATTTGTAAGTACGGGCGTCGTGTTTGAGGAAAACAATAAAGATATTTCTAAATTTGACCATATATCTATGGTTACAGCTCATTATTAATCTGTTGAAGGCTCGCCAGTGTATCTCTAGTCTAGTTATCACGTAGGTCTGAACTGATCATTGTTTTTTGTTATTTGTTGGCCTGTTTTTGTTGTTGTTGTTGTTGTAAGTTTTTGTTTTTTATCCGAGAGGCCACGCCACGGTGAGTTCTCTGAGCCTCTATATTAAGACGAGAGCAAGTGCCCTTAATGAAAAAGGTTTTTTTTTTCAATTCCAAGCAAATCAAACTCATTTTCACAAAAAAGGTTTCGCATTAGCCTGGCCCAAGAGGCGCTCTTTCCAATTAGTACCCAGTCCCTTGACCAAGGGAAGAGTGTATAGCGCTCACAATTTTTTTTTTCACACTTACTATTTTAGGGGAGGGGTAGGTGGGAAGTTTCCCAGCAACGTATAATGATCCAAAAACGATTTGATAAAACGCTACCCAATTCATTTTGGATTCTCTAATCTTTCTTAAGTTTAACAGCATGTGTATGTGTACTAATTCATCCATTTGAGGCCCTCTCGGATCACATCTTTATG